TGTGGTGTGTGTATGTATATGTGGTGTATGTGTATATGTGTATTGTGTGGTATAGTGTGCGTGCATGTGTGGTGTATGTATGTGTGTTACGGTATGTGTATGTGGTATGTGTGTATGTGTGGTTATAGAAAGCAAACTTCTGCAACCTTTGTACCACAGGCTCATGTGTTGGCCAAAGCAATTTTGCACTATAGTATAAAGTCTCTAGGAAGCAGGAGCCTCACACCAACATGTTCTTTCTCATCACCAAACTCCACCCTGTTTCCATCATGACTTTCTAGCTGGGCTCCAAGTCTTCCCTGTCAGGAGAGTTCTACATGTTCGATGAGCTTGCCATTTCTGAGGTCACTATGAGAGGATTCATTTTATATCCACCCCAGAAATCCTTTTGTGTCATCCCAAGATCATTATTCTTATCCCTTATCTGGGACTATGTGAGATGTGTTATGTTCATTTTATCACATGATGAAACACTACCTTCTACATGTAATTTCAATGTAGGCTCTTGACCTCGGATGTCTTTGATGATCGGTGAGAGACCAATGTAACAAGGGTGATCTGTAAGAGTGGAGTTGGGAAGCAAAAGAGGAATGTGGTGATGGAAGAGACAGTGAACGAGCTGCAATTTGAAGAGGATTCAGCCTGTCATTACTGTCTTTGAAGATGGAGGAATGTGCCATAAGCCAAGGAGTGCAGGCCATCATTAGAAAGGACAGGGAAGTAGATGCCTACCTATACCTTTTAAAAATGGGATGCAACTCTGCCAACACCTTAGATTTAGGTGAATAGAATTGTGTCAGCTTTTGATCATCTCTAGAATTGTAAGACAATAAATTGGTGCGTTTCTTTTTAGACTCCTGTAGTCCACGTGATAGCACAAATAGGAAGTGAATACAACAACATAGACAATTTTTCTGTTTTTTAGGGCAAGCACTTCAGAGACTATAGCTTATGTAAGTCTACAGTCCTCTTTCTGTCTTCCTTTACATGCATAGCCACAGGGACTCCTGCTTTCAATTCAGATTTTGAAAACTGTGGGGTACCTGTTGTTGGGGATACCATGTTCCTATATACCAGCAGTTCTCAACCTGTGGCTTTTGAGCCCTTTGGGGGTCAAATGACCCTTTCACAGGGGTCCCATATCAGATATTCTGCATATCAGATATTACATTATGATTCACAATGGTAGCAAAAATACAGTTATGAAGTAGCGCTGAAGGATTTTTATGGTTGGTGGTCATCACAACACAAGGAGCTATATTAAACTGTTATTGCATTAGGAAGGTTGAGACGCGCTGCTATAGACAGATAGAATGAGGTCCACTGAGTTATAATGTCATTTCATTCAGTGCAGCAGCAGCCAATGGGTAATGCATCGCCTTTCTGCTTTTTGTCAGAATTCTACCCATGGCAGTTCCCTTCTCTTCACTATTATTCTCCGTCCTTTTCTTTTGCAAATACCTGTTTTCATGCTTTGCCATTGATGACAGACCTTGACTTGAAATCAAGCTTTGTATCTGCAGAAAATCAAACAGCCTGTAAATGTCTACTGAATGTTAGGGTGTCAGTGAACTCTGAGAAACCATAATCACTCCATTAGTAGGAACCTGGGAAGTCAGCTTGGATTCTTCACTTAAGCAGTGATGGTCCATATCACCTGTCACATCCAAACTGACGAAGACCGAGACTCCAGGCTCAATTCAAGATTTGTGAAACAGAACCACCTGGTAATACATTCTATGCTGTGCCATGTTCTTCCTGGTGTCAAGTGTCCCACAGTGTCCAATGTCATCAAATCGAGTTGTGGAATGTGAGGTGATTTTCTTTAGAATCTTCTTACCATTCCCTTGTGTATCAGTGTTAAGCCCTCCGTCCCATTATGCCTATGACACTTTCTAATCGGAGCCAGTCTTTCTTATTATAGGGAAGGCAGGTCTCAATTGGGCAACAGGATACTTTTAACAGCTTTATGGATGTATAATTAACACAATTCAAACTGAGTATATTAAAAGTGCATAATTCAAAGTTTTGACATGCCTCTGTATTCATAAAACTATTGCCATAGTCACCCTCCAAATTTGCTTGTGATCTCTTTCCACGCCTGTTTCCACCTTATCTGCAGGCAATGGCTGACCTTTCTGCCATTATAGATTAAGCTGTATCTTTGAGAGTTTTATGAAAATGGGATAATATAATTTCTTTCCTGTCTGGGGTAGGGACCTGGCTAGGGGAACTTAAGTTGTTTGTTTTGAGTACACCCATGTTGGTTTAGTAGCCCTTTGTATGATTGTACTGATTTCTGTTCTCATTAATTTGTAGATATACATTTGCTTCCTCCCCAGCCCTTGGCTGTCAATAATAAAGAATGTGGGAACACCCCATCCAAATCTTTGTAAGGTTTTTATTTCCCTTGGGTGAATGTCCAGGAGTGGAATGGCTGAACCAGACATCAGGTGTGTATTCAACTTGGGAAATCATAAACACGGGTATGGTTCACATAAAGTTTCAAACTGATTTTCAAAGTGTGGATACCACTTTATGATAATTCCTGGAGACTATGTGAATGCTGGTTCCTATAGTCAGTCTCTTCAAATTAAGGCACTTTTGTGCATCATGGTCATTTCAGTTCAATTTTTAACCATCCTTCCTTAGTGACTAATATGTTAAGCACAGTGAATTTTAGTATGTTTTCCACATTTTTATCATTTTATTAAGGTGTATTTTCAAATACTCTTTGCATTTTCTAGATTGAGTTGTTATGTTATTGATTCTAAAGAGTGCTTTACATACATATGTATAGATGTACATATACATGCTTATTTTAACAGATAATTTAAAAGTATTTTCTTACATCCTGAGTTATCTATTTCTTCTCTTGATTTCTAGAGCACAGGTTTTAATTTTGAGAAAATACAATTTATGAACTGGATTTATGTTTTGTGGTGTGTGTGTGTGTGTGTGTGTGTGTGTGTGTGTGTGTGTGAATGTCCAAGCTAAGAAATTATCCCCTAGCCCAACATCCTAAAGATTTCCCCTTTTATTTTCTTCTAGAAGTTTAACATTGTTAGATTTTAAGGTTATGATGAGAAGCTACTTTGAGTTAATTTTTGCCCGTGGTTTGATGTGTTGACTAAAGTATGGATTGTTTTGCATTTATATACAACTGACTCAGCAGGATTTATTGACAAAATTTGGTTTCCCTACTGAATTACTTTTAATCCTTTGTTGAGAACCCAATGGCCAGGTGAATATGGGTCTAGGCTGCATTCTGTTCTACTCCTGTGGTCTGTGTCTGTCACACCTGCGTCACACTGTCTCAGTTATCACAGCCCAGCATGTTGGCATCAGAACGTGTTTCTCTCCAGCTTCGATGTTGCTACACTGGCATTCCTAGATGTCATTTCACTTTCCTGTGAGTTATAGGACCAGGTTGTCAGTCAATGACAAGGCATGCTGGGTTGGTTTAAATTGCTTTGAATCGATAAATCAATTTGGAGAACCGACTTCCTAACAACATTAAGTCTATTGAACCAGGTAGATCTCTCTCCACTTATTTAGATGGTTGTTCACTCACTCACTCCTCCCAATGAACTCTAGCTTTCAGTATGCATATCATTTACAAATGTGTCTGCATTTATCCCTACATATTTAAGACTTTTCTATTATGGACTGAAGGTTTTAGAATTTAAATTATAATTATAACTAGTGGGCATACAAAAGCAATTTATTTTAGATACTGACCTTTAAATCTTGTTATCTTTTCTATTAATTATTTGTCTATTGCTGTATAAACACCATGACCAAAAGCAATGTGGGGAGGAAAAGGTTTATTTCATCTTACACTTTGGAGTCACAGTCTATCACTGAGAAAAATCAAGACAGGAACCTGAAGGCAAAACCTGAACCAGAAGCCTGAGAGGAATGTTACTTACTCTTGTTCCTCATGACTTGCTAAGCCTGCTTTCTTACAGAACCCAGAACAACCTGCCCAGGGATGGTATTGCCCATTGTAATTTGGGCCCTCCCATATCAATCATTAATCAAGAAAATGCCTGATGGACTTACCTAAAGGCTAGTCTTATAGAGACATTTTTTTTTCAGTTGAGAGTTCTATTTCTCAAATAATCTATCTTGTGTCAAGTTGACATAAATCTAACCAATGCATCTTTAAACTTTATTAGCTGTAGGTGAGTTTTGAAGATTCAAAGATTCTGTCAGATTTTCTTTAATGTATGTAGAAGAAGGGAGTGTATGCATGTGTGGGCATGTGTGTGTTCATCTTATTTGGGGGGATAGGGTTTCTCACTAAATCTGAGGCTCACTGTTTTGACAAGGCTGCCTAGTGAGTGAGTTCTAGTGATCCTCCTGTCTCCACCTCTCAGCATCAGAGTTATAGATGTACATCACTGCTCCCAGATTTTATGTGGGTCCTGGGGATTAAAATCAGGTCTTTATATTTGTGCAATAATCACTTTATCCACTGAGCACTATTCCCAGGCCCAGCATCATGCTGCTTGCCAATAAAGACAGTTTTATTTCTTTCCATTGTACATGTACCCTTTCTTGTCAGTTATAACCAGCATGGCTCTGTCACATAAAGGTGAAAAGATTAGACATCCCTTTCTTGTCCTTGATATCAGTGGGAAGTATTATAGGTTCATAGTTATGTTCAATGTCATATTTAAATCTGGGGTATACTTTATTTCATGAGGAGTTTTTTATATTCATTGTTTGAAAATATATTAGATATATAAACATTTAGGATTTTAATATGCTTCTGGTAAATTGAACCCTTTAAATTTCAAATAGTATTATCTATTTTATCCCTAATAATATGTTTTACTCTGAAATCTATTGTCTATCTTAGTATAGCTGTGTGGTGGTTTGAATAGGTATGGTCCCCATAGACTCATGTGTTTGAATGGTTGGCCTATAGAGAGTGGCACAATCAGGACATGTGGCCTTGCATGAGTAGGTGTGGCCTTGTTGGAGAAAATGTGTCACTGTGGGGGCAGGCTTTGAGGTCTCACATTCTCAAACTATGCCCAGTGTGGGACATAGTTGACTTCCTGTTGCATGCAGATCAAGATGTAGAATTCCTTCTCCAGCACCATGTCTGACCAGGCTGCCTTGCTTCCTGCCATGATGATAATCTACTAAACCTCTGAAACTGTAAGCCAGCCCCACTTAAATGCTTTCCTTGATAAGAGTCACTGTGGTCATGGTATCTCTTCACAGCAATAGAAACCCTAAAACAAACTGTCAGCCTACTGTTGATGAAAGTTAATAAAACATATCTTTTTACTTTTAACTTATTTGTTTTCTTGAGGAAATGCAGATTATATTTAGATAATTTACATTTATTATAATGATTGGTTGCTGGGGATGATGTGAATGTGTTGCTCTGATTGATTGATAAATAAAATGCTGATTGGCCAGTAGCCAGGCAGGAGGTATAGGCAGGACAAGCAGAGAAGAGGATTCTGGGAACAGGAAGACTGGGTCAAGAGTTGCCAACCAGACACAAAGGAAGCAAGATGTAAAAGTACCAGTATGTAGCACGAATCTTAAAAAGTTCTTATTAATAAAATCAAACCTGAGGCCAGTTATTGGGGTGAAATGCTGGAAGATTGGAAAGACAGAACAAGCCACAGCTTCCTCACCCAGCCAATTCCATAGGTGGTCCTGTTTCCTCAGACTGGAAGCCTCTGTGTCCTCATATCCGAATGGCTCTCAGCTGAACTGTGCTGCTAGAAGCCTGACAGCTTAACCAGGCCAAATGCTTAACCAGCCAAATGTTTCTAGTTTCTGGTCCTCACACCTTATATACCTTTCTGCTTTCTACCATCACTCCCTGGGATTAAAGACTTGCTTTCTGGGATTAAAGGAGTGAGTCACCATGCCTGGCAGTTTCCAATGTGGCCTTGAACTCACAGAGATCCAGAGGGATTTCTGTCTCTGGAATGCTAGGATTAAAGGTGTGAGTGCCACCATTTTCTAGCCTTTGTATCTAGTGGCTGTTCTGTCTCTGACCCCAGATAAGTTTACTAGGGTGCACAATATTTTGGGGAACACAATACCACCACACCAGTAAGCCACAAGGCATGTGGCAACTTATAGATTAATAGAAATGGGTTAATTTAAGATATAAGAACAGATACCAAGAAGCCTGTCACAGCCATACAGTTTACAAGTAATATAAATCTCTGTGTGTTACTTGGGTCCAAGCGGCCAGCCACAGGACCTCAGGAGCTCAACAGAACCAGGGAAACTTTAGCTACAATTGGTACAGTTATTTTTAAATCCATTATCTTGCTCATTTTGCATTCATCTTTTCTGTTCTTTTTCCCACTTATTTTCTCTGTTCTCTCTTAATAATTTTCTTACCATTCTATTTATTCCCTTTTTGAATTATTAGTAATATATTCTTAGTGTTACTGTTTTAATATATGATTTATACCATACACTATGAACTTTTCATGCTCTGCTTTTGAGTATCATATTCTACTCTGCAGATAATACAATAAATTTGCAATATTGTAACTATCTCTTCCCTTCTTACTATATTATGGTTGTCTTCACTTTCACATATGTAGTGAACCTAACCTGATATTATATTATTATTTATATTTAAAGTTATGTTTCAGAGAAAGTTACATAATAAGAAAAATGTTACTTCTTTTTCCCATGTATCTATCATTCTAACAGTTTTAATTCTTTGAGGGTAGGCACATTTCCACTTAGTACTATTCTTTTCCCTGAAGGGTCCTCAGTAATATTTCTTATAGAGAAGTCTGTTGCTGCTAAATCCATTCAGGTGTTCTATGTCTGAAATCATCTATATTCTCCTTGATGTCTGGAAGTTATTTTTCCGTGGTTCTGCTTTCTAGGCTACAGCACTTTCAGCATTTTAAAGATGCTCCCCTATTGTCCTCCTGCTTGTGTGCTTACCACTGAGAAACCATGCTGACCTCAGCATGTCCCTCTTCACAGAAAGTGTCTTGTTTCTCCCTGAAAGTTTAAAGATTTTCTTTTGTCAATTTGATTATGATGTGCCCTTATCTAGTTTCAACTAGTTTCTTAGATTTGTGACTATGATGTTATAAAGTAAAAATTTGTGATGTTTTTATCTAAGTTAGCATGTTTAGTGATGGATTTCATGATGTTTTCATAAGTATGTATTGCTATATTTTATTCTTATTTTTTTTGATATTTTTATGTCATCTCTCTTTTCTCTTTTCTTTCAGAGACACCAAATAAATATATTAGGCTTTGTGAAGTTGTCTCATAGTTTTGTGCCTTTTTCCTTTCAAAGATCTTTTCTACACTAGTTCATTGTTACTTCTGTTTCTGTCTGCAGGTTCATAAAATATTTCATATGCAACATCCAACCTGTTATTCAGCCATCAGCACGCTCTCCTCAATCACTGTGTTCTTCAGATCTACTGGTATGATTTCAGTCACTTACATATCTTCTTTGCCACTATTTAATATTTGGTAAATAAGAAATATATGGCATTTATGACTCTCAGTGCTCTATCTGCTAGTTATAGCATATAAGTCAGTTTTGAATTGATTAATTGTTGCTTTTTATCTGAATATAAGGTAAGTATTTTATGTTTCTTTTTATGTTTAGTAATTTTCTTATTGAAGACATTTTAAATTTTACTTTGTTGATATTTTTGTATTCCTGTAAACATTTCTGAACTTTGTTCAGGATCACAGTTAAGTTACCTGAAAACAACCAGACAGCTTGGGATTTGCTGTTGTGCTGTTGCCTATTCGTATGTTTTATGTGGCAGTAACCCATGCTGGGACAATTATTCACAACTTCCAAGGCAAGGTCTGTTTAAGACAAATTGACTAAATAACTCAAGAATCTTGAAATTTTCTACTCTAGTAGGTTGAAACAGGTATCTGGCCTGTGTACACCCTGACTCTAAGTCCCTCTAACACTTTTGTGTCATTTCATTCTCCATCCTCAGGGATTTTCTTCACATACATATGATGACCAGTTATTACTTTTCTGAGTACTTGGTGGGAAACATCTGCATATCTTTTGGTTCCTCATCCTTTTTCATATTCATCTCTGGTTGTCTATTCTCTGAATTATAGCCCCCTTGTTGTCTCTGGACTCAAGAGAGTGTCCTCGGGTCTGGTAGTCCTACAGGCCTGACCTGAATTCCTTGTCCTGTGTCACTGACTGTGGATGTTGACAGAAGGCTGGAGGGATTGGAGCCCATCTACATGTTTCTCTTTGGAGAAGATCAAAGCCCTTTGCTGTGTAACACACTCTCCAGGCTAAAGTTTTCTTAGGTGGAATGGGACACCTCGTCCCTGTCACTTCATGTCAGCTACAGTGAGACATGTACAGCTAGTATTCTTATATAATTAATTGGTTTCCTTTTACTTATTTTTATAGTTACCTTCTATTTGTGGTAATTAGTATTGATTTTCCATTTTGAATAAGCCATGTAATTTTTCGTTTTAGGCAAATAAATTGAAGTGTAGATGAATTAATCAATTTCAAGAAAAATATTTAGAAACCGGCAATAAAGGTTAAAAGAGACATGAGAAATAACAAAATAGTAGTAAGAAAAACCACAGGAATTTGGAGAAATAACACCTAAGCTTCAGGTCACAGTGGGCCTTGTAATCCATTCAAAGAGGCTTAGTTGAAGACTCAGAGCCTAAGATGACAGTTGAGCTCAAATCCATTAGGTTTTTGGGGGCATACTGTTAAGGATCACAAACTTTCTTGGTTTCTCAAGATGATCAGATTTCATAGAGTCTACCAAAGGAAAGAAGAGGGTAGCCACACAGATGAGTGCTAGAGTGCTTGCCTAACATGTTTGTGGGACCCTGCACCTATTTCAGGGGAAATGAAGGGAGAGAAAAGGCAAGACATTTTGCATGACTAAGTTTTAAAACAATGCCCAGTATTTTTTGATGGCGTTTGCTCCACAGCTCTCTCACAATGTGGAGTATTTTGGTGTTTTGCCACCAGGAGGGTGGTGTGAGCTTGAGAGAGTATGTAAAATGCCACATGGAAAGTTGCTTTACTTGATTTTATTCTGCAAGTTTGAGTAAAGGTGGAAAGGGATGTACATCACCACCCACTGCTTCTTCTATGGCTCTGCGTCTATATTCAATTAACAAAATATTTCCAGTTGTTGATAGTTAGGTGACTCCAGTCTCCTTGAGGAATAGAACAAAATCTGAATTATATTTATGAGGTTGATAAATCGTTCCATGTAAAGTTTAATTTTGAGCTTCAACCATAGGTTACATGACACCAGCTAACAATTTGTACTTCCTTCTCCCCCCTTACAGACATCCTTATAAAACAAACTAGTCCAATGACTGTCTTCGTCATCACTGCATTGCAGGAGCAAATTAAAAGCCTGGGGCATATCAGGTGTTCCGTAGGTCTTTCTGGAAGAAGGGAAAGAAGGAAAGAAGAAGAGGGAATAATGGAGAAACACAGTCTAAGGGGCAGTTGAGTCTTCCAAATAGGATGTGAGCATAAGACCAGAGAACTGATCTATTCTTGGTTACTGTACTCCTTGCCTGGCCCACAGTACTTGATGCATGCTTGTTTGTTGAATGCGTGCATCAGAGATTACGTACACAGTCCTTGCATTTCTGTCTAGTGAGGACAGCCATGACATACTCATATACGATTATAACTACCACGATGGGTGACAAAGCTGCACAGAATTAGAAAAAAATAGAACATGGATCAAAAACAAACAAGTCTTGACTTTTAAGGGGGGATTTCTCAGGCCTGACCTCAAGGGTGAAGAGAAGTTGGTTAAGAGATCAGTTGAGAGACTCAAAGAAAATGCTTACCTCTTTCACAAGGTTCTATGGATTTTCTAATTTTTTTAATTATTGAGATTTTGTAACCCAACATTAAGTATTTATAAATTTTCTCACACTGGAGTGGCCACTATCACTGCATCACTCAGCCAAACAGTGTGTCTGCACTGCACCCAGTTTTGAGCTGACCAGTCACATGACCCAGAAGAAAAAGTCAGATCTCTATGAAATTGGTTAAGGGGAAAATACTTCTGGAGCATTCTCCCTAAGTCAGATTTTCTCTCAACATCTAGGAGTGGTCATATGACCTTCTGAGCTAGAACTGTCTGTGTTTACCTCACAGAACATGGATCATTTGTTGAATTTTTCGAGACAGGGTTTCTCTGTGTAGTCTCAGAGCCTGTCTTGAATCTTGCTCTCTAGACTAGGCTGGCCTCAAACTCACAGAGATCTGCCTTGCTCTCTGCCTCCTGATTGCTGGGATTAAGCCATGCACTACTACTGCCTGGCTCATGGATCATTCTGAAGAAGAAGACTCAAGGAAGCAAGAAGAATCCAGCTCTGCCTCAGAGGAACAGGACAAAGATACACCTGCCCAAAGAAGGCCAGCAAGGTGGGCAGCTGCTGCAAGATGGGTGCTGTCTTCAGCACTCTGGCTTTTAACTAAAACATGAGTAGGTTCCTGTCTATGTGTTCAAACTCTCTACTTCCCTTCTCCCACTCCATCCTATCCCACACCATCCACACATCTTAGTCAACATCCCACAGCAATTTCAGTTTCCTTCCTGTTCCTCAAGCAGTCCAGAACCTCCTGCCTGAGCTTTGGTGTGCTCTTCTAAGAACACCATAGAACAAACTTCTTTCCACTCTTCCGTACAGAGCCAATGGCTGCCCCATCAGAAAGGCCTCCTGGAAGCTTATGAACATCATTAATTTTTACTACATTCTTTCTCAGCTCCCTGTGCTGAGTGCAATCCTGACAAGGACAAGGGTGTTGCGTATGCTATTCTTCAACTCTAGCTCCAGCACTAGCGATGGTCCTTTATATGTAGTAGGTGTTTGGTCAATACTTTTAAATACATGAGCTAAAAACCAGACGCTATGTTAGGGAGCAGTCAGTAAATTAATATGCTAATTAGTTCTAATAAGCTCATTAGCTTTAGAACAAAGTAGCTAAGTGGTTTTCTGTGAAACATAGAAAGTAATAGTTATGGGTGATGTATATAGGCTTCTGCGGGCACAATCCCTGTCACAGACAGACACAGCAAGGGAACCTTCTGTGATCCCCTAAGGATCTGTCTTTTTTATTTGATGGAAACAAAACTTGTTCTAGTTTGACCTGGAAACCAAGTGTGTTCAGCTTAAACTCCCTTCTAGCCTTGATATAAGTTTATTCTTTGTCATTTGCCTGGTACAGTTGACTGCACCAGCCCCCTGCCAGCCTGCCTGGTCATGATGTCTCATACTCACTGTTCCCAATTTGGTCAGAGCTATGTCCTTAACATAATATGCCAACCCGACTTCTGCCGAAGTCAATAATTATGCAGGTTCATCAGCCTAGAAGGTCAGCAGATATTACAGGGGAGGCAGGTTTGGTTGATGAGAAATCTCCTGCACTGATAGCAACTTGCACATCTATTATTGCTGAAAACAAAACAAGAGCACAGCAGCTCTCTCCTGTGATTTATTCTTTGAGAGTGCTGGCGGAGGATGATTGCATCAGAATCACAGGCTTGCACATTAGGCTCTTGCCCACCTGGACTTGTACCCTTCATCAGGAAGGAGCAGCGTCTCAGTGACCAGACAGGAAAGGAAGTGAGGAATAAAGGAGCTATTACTAAAGGTCTGAGAATGGGTGGTAAGGCCGAGCCGAGGAGGATCATGCAGGCAGAGGAGCCGGGTTTGAATGGGAATCTTAGCCATTTCTGGCTAGAGGACCAAAGGCAGGTCCTTCACCTCCTCCTAACCTCAGTTATCTGCTTATGAAAATGAAGATATTATTTTTGGTTGTGAGCCTAGCCTTTAACGGCTGAGCCAGAGGGGAGGTAGGGGTAGGGAACTGGGAGGAGTGGAGGGAGGGGAAATTGTGCTCCGGAAGTAATATATGAGAGAAGAAAAAAAAATGGCATTCAATTCATTGACTGTTATGAGCACAATAAATATACAACCTTTTAAACTAAAAATTACTTTGGCAATAATAACTATTAGGCAATAATAACTATTAGTTATATTTCTAAATGCTTTCCTATTATTTCTAGTAGATTTTTGGGAAATGGTAGAAAGCTCTGGGCATTTAAAGGCCTGTGAGTCTTTGAAGTGCAGTGCCCAATAGTTAGGGAGACAGTTATAAGAATGGTGGAAAACATTAGGTACCAAAAACCTGGGAGGGAATTGTCTTTCTCTCACTCATCAAGTACACACCAATGGGCAAAGTTCTGCACAACTCTGTCATTTTCTTCGCACATAAAATAGGAATCCTGAGCAGTTTCTGTATAACACATTGCAACATTGCCTGGGAGCAATTAATTCAACATGCTATGGAATTGGCGGGGTTATCTGTACAGTGAAATCACCGTTTGGCCTTTAAAGCGTGAGTTCTGCCAACTGGCTTATCGTCTGAGATACT